GCCAGAACATTGTAAAAAATGTCTTATTTTAACTTTGATCAAATAAACCAACTTTGTATTCCTTCCTTTTACTTCTAAGAGTCTTAATCTTTAATTCAATCAAATATTGTAGGATTTGATTTCTCTTCAGTTCTTCTTTATCCCATTGCACAGATTTCTTCAAGGCTTTAACGAGTCTCTTTCATAGATTCGATAAGAAAATATTTTCCAGGTCATTCTCTTGGTTTATCATTTTTATTTCCCTTTTAATTTTTAAAACTTCAACCAGTTTCTTTTGAATATCCAGTAAAGTGTCCTTTTCCAAATCATTATCTTGGCCTGTTATTTGTAGTTCCACATTCAATACTTTATCTTATCAGATAAAATTTGTTCCACGTCTGTCATTCCTTCATTAACATCTTTTAGACATAGTCTATCCATAGAAGCAGACATAATTACTGACAGTGTTGATATTGTAGTTACTAACTTCAGGGCCATTCTTCAAAGATCTCCTTTAATATTTCTGATGTTATAATGTTTTGTATCATTCTGTAAATCCTAGTAATAACTGACATCAGGTTTTGGGGTTTTTTTCCTCTGCTTAAAATCTTTAGTCCCCTCTAGTGTTCGAGTTTCTAAAATCATCACTTATATTTTTGTTATGACTTTGTTAAGTCGGTTTCCCATGAGAAGTTGTTTATTTTTTATAATTAATTTCAAAATCTTATAGTAAGTCAATATTCCAAATTTATCTAGACCCTTAATCGGTTCATTTCTTAGATCAAAATCTTATTTAGCTTTTTGTTGTTTATTTCAAATTTAAGTTCTTAAGCTTGTAATGAATTTTTCTTTTGTTCAGAGTTGAAGATAAACTCACTCAGTGAAGACTTTTCAAACCTGTCATTCCAAAGGTCTCTAATAGCTTTACAGTAGTTAATAGGTAATTTCTGAAAGTAATTAGAAAGTGAGGTTTGCAAACATAATGTCCTTTAAAAGGCTGTGCTGCAGTTGCAAGCTAGATGGCTGATCCCAACATCTCCTGGCACTCAGACCAGTGGAAAACCTCTATCCTTCGATTTCCTCACGAGGAACAACCATCTGGAGCACATGTGGGTAATCTCCCGTCCTCTCCTTATCTGGAGAGGTTCCAAGAAACCAGTCTACTCACTGGTTCCTTGGTCTTTGCCACGGTTGTCGGTTCTACTTTCGCAGAGCCATTTCAGTTCGCTATATCTCCCCCAGAAGTAAAAAAATATCCATACATTTATCCATTCAGTTTTATAAATTCCCCCTTAGTTGTACAAAATACAGTGTAAATCACGTGAAGATTGAATGTAAGTGAAGGATCGTAGTATTTAAGGACTCTGCTTGCTGTTGGTATAACTGAAGTATAGGTAGTCCCTGGGTTAAGAACACCCGGTTTATGGGTGACCCATAGTTAAGAATGGAGCCTATTGTAGCAAAATTTGAGTTAAATACACAATGATTCAAGTTAAATACACAGTGGTTCGAGTTAATTACACAATACTACTTATACAGTATTATACAATAATACTGTTCTGGCTTACATACAAATTCGACTTAAAGACAGACCTTGGAAACGGAATTTATTCTTAAACTGGGGACTACCTGTACTATTGTAGCAAAATTTGAGTTAAATACACAATGATTCAAGTTAAATACACAGTGGTTCGAGTTAATTACACAATACTACTTATACAGTATTATACAATAATACTGTTCTGGCTTACATACAAATTCGACTTAAAGACAGACCTTGGAAACGGAATTTATTCTTAAACTGGGGACTACCTGTATATAAATCATATCATTTCCTTGCTAGAATGAGGATAATAATGAATGTTGTGCTCTTACAAATTTTGCAACATGCTTCTATTTTACTGCTGCTGATTGTAACATCTTTTAAATGAAGAAATTCTGTTACCATTAAAATAAATGAATAAACTTTGATGGTATGTATCTTGAATCTCTGGTCTGTTATTTATTAAATGCCATTGAATGTACTGTATTAGGTTTATTCCCAGGTGTATAGAACTCAACTTCTGACTGGGGAATTCTGGGAGTTGAACTCTACACATCTTAAAGTTGCCAAGGTTGAGAAACACTGGTATAGAGGATTCTTCCCTAAATAAAGGATCCTCAACTTTGTTACCACAGAAACAGCTTTCTTTTTTGAGGGGGGGAGTTACCCAGTGAAATGATGCAACCAAATGAAGCATTGTGCTCCAGCATCTTCAGCCAAACTGATTCCTAATCTTAACCTAGAACAATCTTCCCTCTTCAGGATATTGTATTTTTTCTCAATAGAATCATTTTGTGTTTTTTCTGCTCCTCTACCTATTCAGTATTCCATACTCATAGTCACACAGCTTGTAAACTATTTCTATATTGTTGGTGAAATTTTATTCTTTTGCTTTTCCCTTTTAGAGGGGAAGGACTGCTGAAAATTACCCAAGACTTATTCCATCAGGCAGAGGTAATAAAGCAACAAAAAGAAAATTCATACAATACCCTGAAGTTGCTGTCAGAGAAAGTTTATTTTTTTTCGAAGTGCATACTTTGAGCCCCATAGTTGATTGATCAAAAACAGCTGTTCTGAACTTGAATTATTGTTTCCTTGAACCTTTTCTCTCTCATCAGTCAATTGGAATAAAAGAAAATCTAGTTATTTCATGTATCCACTTGATTACATTGTATTTGGTTTTGTGGGGAGGGGGGTGGACATGTTGCTATATTTTTTCAGTTTTCTACCAATGACTTATTCTTGACTGCATTCTTGCTTGCAGACTGAGATAGATTACAAAAGAGAATTACATTTTGCGTACGTGAGTGCAATTATTATTACCAATTTTAAAAAATGCTGTAGAATATGCATTTCTTATACCTGAACTATCTAACCTATGACATCAAACCAAATATTTATGTAAACTGCTTATATGAATCAATCCAGTTCATCAATAGCCAAAGCTATTTATGATCACTCACCATGGTTTGATACACTACCTTTCTTTTTCTTGTTGGGAAATGGAAAAAGGAAAGGTGTTTCGTGAACTACATTTATTCTGAGCTGAATTTGACTAATCGGATTACAGATTGGGCATACACACATTTGAATAGCAAGGCTTTTTTGTTCCTTAGTGGCTTTGCATTTAATTTTCTATCCTTTTCCCCCTTAGGCCTTTGCTACAGAAGGATTAAAGCTTACTTCAGCTCTCCATATATTTTCCAATCAGGTATGGTACAGCTTCTGAATCTTAAAGACAGTTGCTTTTTAAAATGTGTAGGCCTCGTACTTTAATATGATAGTAGATATCTATGCTCTTAACTTTTCCCATAACTTTTTTTTATTACACTGTATGTATTTCAGCACGTTTAGCATGCCTAAGTAATCTCTCTTTCAGGTGGAAGATGAGGAGAAGCCACTGCTTCTGCAGGAGATTGAGAGGATGGTCCCTGCGTGTCAGCAGCTTCAGGTAACAGCTAAAGCCCCTGTGCAGGGCAAAACTGCAACTTATACAAAGGTAAACTATTTAATATTTTTTAAAATAGTCATTCTCTGTAAACTTTATTTTCCTATCTTACTTTTAGAATAAGATAATGAAACCTTGTAACTGTGTGTTAAATCTTAAACAGACTACATGGATGATATATGATAGTACTGAGTTGCTAAATTAAGGAGACTAAATTAAGTTGGTATCCTGCATGAGAGGCCAGTCTGCAGTTGTGTTGTGAGGCTTGAAGCACAGATTAAAATAGGATACCAGCTAACCAGGCAACTCATTAGAAACAAATGTTCTTCATCATAGTGTCCTGTTTGGGTTACAAGTACTTTTGGATTCAGAGGCAATGTGAGCACACCAGTATGAGTTATCAAAGCTTTATTCCATAGCAAAACAATAGAATACAAAAAAATTACGGAGTATAGTACTTACAACTAAGAAGCAATAGGAGAACCACCACTACACATAATTTAAAGATTTGCGGGATGCATAGTTTGACAAATCTATAATACCTTAGCATCATTCCTTCCTATACCTTATAATAGATGGATCTATGTACCAATTTAATATTTAGTGTTTGGCTTGATTGTGATCATGAGATACTTATCTAGAAGTATGGCTCTTGTTATTGCATTCCTGTACTTCCAAGGTATCATTATATTCCCTTATCTAGAAGACTGATTTCTAATTCAGGTTTCCTGTGCCAAGCTATCTTACCACATAGCTCAAATATTTCTGCTTCTACAGCATCTGGGCCTATGGGTCAGTTACATGAAGTTTCCTTTACTTGTCTTGCAGGTTATCCAATTAATTGTGGTAACAAGATAAAACTACTCATTGCCATGACTTTAGGTGCTTGTACAAAAGATATTATAATGGAATTCTCTGAGTCTAGGAATGGGAATGGCAGTTTGCAAAATACTGCAGGACTGGAACATCTGTATATTCCTTCGCCAAATGGCACATCTTGCGTTAGGAAGAGGTGCCTCCACTCCACTTTCCCAGGCACATACACAAAATAGCTCCTCAGTTCTGTTCTGTATTAAAAAAAAAAAAATCCCTCCATTGTGGCTGATTTCAAGCTATATCACTTTCCTCCCCACTGCATACCCTGACAGGAACCTCACTTCCAGGTTCTCTGTATTTAAGGTGTTTGGTTTGGGTGCAAAGCATCTCATCACTTGAATTTGAAAGGTACTATGAGCCTTCCAAAGCAATCTCCATGGCTGGACTGTTGAGGTTATATTGGGTAATTCCATGGCAGTTGAGTACCAAGGTGACACAATGTCTTCCCCTCTTTTGTACTTTGTGATTTGGCATTCAATTATCTATCTTTTCATCTTCATTCTGGCAATTCATTGGCCTAGAACCAACACTGACTTCGCCTATTAGCCCAGCCACTTTTGGCACCAGTGAATTTCTTCTGTAATGAAATCAATGAGAAGGTGACAGTATAGTCTAGATTGTTTGATCTGCTGACTACAGATAGTCCCCAGTTTAAGAATGAGTACTGTTCCCAAGGTCTTTCCTTAAGTCAAATTTGTGTGTAAGCCGGAACAGTATTATTGTATAATACCGTATAAGTAGTATTGTGTAATTAACTCGAACCATTATGTATTTAAGTCAAATCACTGTATATTTAACTCAAATTTTGCTACAGTAGGCTCCATTCTTAACTATGGGTCGTCCATAAACTGTGCATTCTTAACCTGGGGACTACCTGTATTTTTAATCTATTTCTGTTTTATTTCATGTATTTTATGTCACTGTTTTATTGTCAGTATCATATTGCCATGTCTTAAATCTTTATAGTTACAATATTAAGTACAATTCTTAATATTCTTATAGATAGCTCTTAGTGTTACAAAATTTTACAGTTTTAGCAATCCTTATAACTGTATTAATAACAATTTTATTATCAGTCTATTATTCTGTATCTTATTCCTGGAATGATTGTAATGTTATATGTTTTATACTAGCCTATGACTGTAATAAAAATGGATAATCAACTCAGCCATATCAGAATGGCCACCTACAAATAGTAATGGGATTTTTCAGCAACGGCACCCCTCAAACCCCATTGGGGCAACCTTAAGATTGATCTGTTCACCTAATGGACAGCAAATTTTTTATTTTTATTTTTTGCAGCAAGGGCAGAATACACCTCAGGTTGACACATTTTTCTTGGAATGGACAACCTGTTTTTAAAGGATCTGAGTAGTGTTCTGCACAGGCACAAAACTCATGTGTGAATTCACGGGTGACCACTCAAAAAAATGCAGTTATGTTTATGTAACTGGTTATGCTCAAAATGCGCCACTATATTAACAGAAAGGCAGGATTAAGGTACCATTAACTTCTTATAGAAAAGGGTATTAAATTACTGTTTTTACGTCTTGCTAAAGTACTGTTTGGTGGAATACACCCATAGCACTGGCTATTTCAGTTATATTATTAAGCTCATTCCATAAGGGCTAGCAGATTCCTTGCTTCACAGCTGTAATGAAATTTTAAAGAATGTTTTCTTTTCTCAACAGTAATTTTGAAATTATCTTTGCTTCATTGCACTATGACTTTAGGTGGATACCTGTATTCAGAAAGCAAAGTATATTCTGGATATACTTTCCCAAGTTCTGCCACTTAGCTTCAAGTTACTAAGAAAGGTGAGTTGATAATGTGTATAGATACGGCAGATTAAATCATTTCTGGGTAGAGTGCCACTTTCATTTTTATTCAATGCTTGTTTTGCAGCACAAAGCAGGAAATGGGTATCTAATGGCCCACTGCTCTTGGAATGGCCAGCATGCAGAGTCAAGAGAAAACAGTGGTCTGGCTGGGAGGACTGACACTTTTGGAATCAAGTCCTTGGAACAACATGTAGCAAGCCTCACTGTTTTGGAGAACAAATGATTTGAAGATGGAAACATTTCTCCGTTGGATTTGTATTTTAAGCCTCTCCTAATTGCTTTCTTTTGAGAAAGGTAAAACCAGGTTAGAAAAAGCTGATGTAATCTTTCCACATCTAATAGATGTCATGGTACTTAGCAATTAGCAAAAGGAACAGCTTTAATGGCTGCATATTTTTGTACGGTAACTTTTGGTTCACTATTAATACTGCTATTTTTGTAATCAAGTACTTTTTTTTTTTTATCTGCGCTCAAATGTCTTATTTTTCAAACCCCAAAGATGCTGCTTGGATATTCATGCAGATGATCTGGATAATCTCAGATATGCTACATGGAAAACTACTGGTGGTGGTGGTTGTTGCTGCTGCTGTTTGTTTGTTTAACAGCCCTCACTGAATGTGAGCCTTTGACCCTTGCCAACAGTATTTGCTGTGGAGGCCTGCTCTGAAAAAGGCGTGACTTGCTGAGTAGCTGCTCAGTCCTTGTCTCCTAAAGGGGCCGGCCAAGAAGTTCTGTTGCCGTAGATACCACATTTCTCTCTCTTGGTGGACAAGGAAGGGGAGGAAGAGAACTAGACTGGAAGTGGTCAAAGAAAACCACATTGCTGCTACTGGATGCATAAGTTACAATAAAGCTTTAATGATGATAGTAATTTCATTTTCGTTAAACACTTTCAGCAATATTTAAAATTAAAACGAAAGATCAATAACAGCATTAATAAAATCAGCTATACTTAAAAGCTTGCTTTTATCTAATTCCCTTTTATCTATATTTTTATATTACAATCTTTATAGCACTATCTAAAGAATCTTTTCAGAAATAGTTCTTCTAAAACCATTAGGACCTAACTCCCTAATGAATGTGATTATATTTACAGCCTTAAACATAAAGCTTGAGCTTTCATTTTTAGCATGTGATAGGAAAGCTTAAGACTGATCACTCTATTTGGAAATAAGTTGCAGCTATTAAAAATACAGTGGTACCTCGGAATACGAACGCCTCTACTAACGAACTTTTCAGGTTACGACCAGCTCTGGCCGCCAAAATTTACCTCGATGTGCGAACTCCGCCTCAGGGTACGGTCATTTTTCCGCCCTGACACGTGGTCCGCGGCCATTTTTCCGCCCCTGACACATGGTCCGCGGCGGAAAACTTACGACCAACTCGGGATACGCCCAGAGTCACGGAACGCATTAAGTTCGTATCCCGAGGTACCACTGTATTTTTAATAGCTGCAACTTATTTCCAAATAGAGTGATCAGTCTTAAGCTTTCCTATCACATGCTAAAAATGAAAGCTCAAGCTTTATGTTTAAGGCTGT